CTATATTTTTAAAAATCCACGCCGTTAATATTCCCTAAAAAATCCACGCCTGTTTTGAATATATATATATATATTTTTTTTTTCAAAAAACTACGCTTGTTATAGTCCTTATGCACAACTGTGTGCAAACTTTTACCCTCAACTGTTGCCATTGCTCATAATCCCAAAAAACAGCTGGTTAGTAGCGGCAAATAAAAAGATGATCAAAGCTACTTTCGTTTGTTTTTGCTTTGTTGGAAATGAAACAGCTTAAAACACACGAACCGCTTAATAAAATTAAATAAACTTATACAAATAAATGATAATGATAACAACAACAACAACAGCAGGCAGCAGATACGTACATGGATGGATGGTTGGCTGGGATGATGCGTTCGTTTGTTCGTCTTCATCATTGTCCATCCACAGAAACATGATATGTGGTCACCCAGTAAGTCAGCCGGTCGAATTCTCGTTGGTGTTGTTGTTGTTGGGCATGCGTGTGCCACAGTTACGGTGATCTTCTTGCGGCTGCACTGTGGGCGAAATGGACGATCTAGCGTCGTTTAATTCAATTTTCAAAGTGTTTAATTGCGCCAAAATTGTATCTCTATCGATTACTACTATCCCACTGATCTAATATGTCGATTCTATTCTGATTGATATGATCTAGTTGAACAGCTGTGAGCTGTCAAACACAACATATGTTTCAGCCAATGCATAACTAAGCTTCAACACGTGTTTTCTTTGCATTGCCAAATTTTCTCTAAAGTTGCATTTGTCTCAATTAAGTGAATGCAAATTTGATTTATTTATTGTTAGAGGTATGTCTTAACTAAAAGAAATTTTGTTTGTGACCTGTGCTTAAGTGTTGTAGAAAAAATATAGTTCAAGTGTACTATACCACTCATCTGCTTGAAAAAATCCAAAGTAAGACTTCCGTAGACCGGAACTTCTGATATTCGTGTGTATTCGCGCTAGAATGTGTTTTTTTAAATTACTATGTCGTCTTGTGATTGTAAAATGTCCAAATGATCTGCAGCCACCTGCAACTTTACATGATATTGCATTTTTTAGGAAAAATGTCGATGCTCAGACGAGAAGTTTATTTACTATGGCGCAACGAGCCTATGTGTACTAAAAAATTTTCTGTCATTGAATATTGAATATAATAATATTATTAATATAAACATGTGCGATGCTAATAAATTTCATCTAATAATAAAAAAAATAGAAAATTTGTAGCAAAATTGGCTGAGAAATGGAAATTCGATCGTAGAAGCAGCCACAAATTTGAAGAAAACAACAAGTAGTGGTTAGACGGATAACTTTTATTAGTTAATCCACTGACTAATCGCGGAACACCCGATAAGAAGTTTGACGAATATTCCATCAAAACGAAACTAACATGTTATCCAAATGGAGTCCAATTTACGAACTATTCAGCTCAAGTGCCTTTAAAAGATATGGTAGATCATATTGTTACGCGCCTCGAAGAAGCTCATTCTTCTATCAGAATTTAATGTTGGTGAACGGAGTGAGCAGAATCTCATTTTTTGCGGGCTCAAAGTCGATATTGAATCTTTTAGGCAATATGCTTTACAGACCGCAGAACTTACTGTATCCTTGGTTTTATATGGGGTGTTCCATACATAAAATCTTAATACATGGAGCCGATATAATTAAAGTATCACCACTTCAATTAGGAAAAATGTCGGAAGAAGCGTTAGAAGCCCGGAGAAGATTACCGCAATTTCCGTGAGCACCATACGCGAAAGACATCCCGATTAAATAAATGAAAGACTTAATGCATCCGCTTTTGTGTTTATCAGATCCCTTGATTTCAAACTTAGGCAAACAAAAAAATGTGTATCCAAATCGGAATAAGAAACTATTATTACAATAGTAATAATAGTTTCATATTTCGATTTGTATTTTTTCCTTTTTTTGTATTTATAATTAAATGTTTGTTATGAAAACAATTGAAATGTATGAAGTCTGAATAAGGCCAAAAATATTGTTAAAAAAATTAATAAATAAATTTTTAAAAAATGTTTTTATTATTAAAGTTTAATATATTTTTAGCCCCAAAGAATGAGAAACATTAAATATTCCAACTTAATCATGTTTTCCTGAATGAAATAAACAATGTCTAAAAAATTAAAAAATTGCAACTTTAAAAAATACATATATATATATATATATATATGTATTAAATTTTAATTTTTTTTGGTTTAAATCTGTAGCTTAATCTATTTTCAACTAAAAAAAATATTACAAAAAATAAAAAAACAAAATCCCTAAGCGCTATTAATTAAACGCCGCTAGATGAGTCTTTTCGCCCACTGTGGGCTGCCTCGAAATGGACGAATGACTATGTTATGGATGCCTACCGGCCTGTGTTTGCCTGCCTGCCTACACGACTATCTGCCATGGAGGCCAGTAGCCTAAAACCCAAAGTATTAGATTTAATATTAGAGATGCCGGAGATGGATGCTATAACACATTTGGTTCGGTTGTGTTAATGTTTCTGTGGCGCTCTTTAATGTTTTGCTGCTGGCTCACCATCCTCCTCCCCCTCCTTCTCCTCATACAAACCGTTGTGGTTATTTGTCATAGTGATTATAATTGTTGTTGTTGTTCCTTTTTGTAAGTAATTTGATCTAGACATTTGGTTTTTGGTTCCAGCTAACCAGCTATAAAGATAGTGTTATGTTTTTGTTGCTATTTTTTCGCATAGCATTATTTCGCCTATGCTCGTTGTTGTTGTGGGTCTTGCATGTCTAAAAATGCGCTCTAATCACTTTTGTTGTTGGTACATTATTTTTTGTTTTTTATTTTGCATCTGATCGGTACTGTTTGTTACGTAGTGGTCACATTATTATGTCTCCTAGCATTCTTCCAGAATTAACCTGGATATGAATGTGGTACACTGAGGAGAAAAATCCGAAGATGGAGCAATTCTCTATCACGCTTGTGATGGTCCTTGAATTCTTTTTTTAAATTCAGACCTTCTATAGTTGTTGAAAAAAATAGTTTTCAAAATCCACTCTTGTGTTAGTCCTTGAAAAAATATTTTTTAAAAATCTATGCTTGTGATAGTCCTTAAAAAATATTTTTTAAAGTCCATGTGTAGTCTTTGGAAAAAATATTTTAAAAAATCCACACCTGTAATAGTCCTCGAAAAATAAATTTTGATACTTATGATATTATTTAAAAAAATAATTTTAAAATTCCACGCTTGTGATAGTTCTTGAAATAATATTTTTTAATCTAGGGCACGGTAGTCTTTAAACCACTGAGCGGGGCAGTATAGTGGGTCGGGCCGACCATATGATACCCTACACAACAAAATCTAAGTTTGTGTGGTTCTGTCTTCTGAGCTTGGGCAACATTTCGCGATCGCCCAGAAAAATATAAATTGTTTCCGGTCCACTTCATCCCAAAATTATTATCTGATCATCACTGAAAATTATAGGCGTTGTCCTTGACCATAACCGGAACCTCACGAAACATTTCAAAGCGATCATCGGTATATTTCCGCCCTCTAGTGTAGTAACGAGTCAACCACTCCTCTTGGATACACTTTCATCTTATCGGGTCTATGTCCTTCAGAAGTAAATATATACGCCATAGAATACAAATTTTATAATTTTTTCACTCAAAATTATGGGTCCATTTGACCCGCTAAATGCTGATCGATCTTTATCCAAAAAGGCATGCTTATTCTTTGGCCATATTCCCTTCTCCATGCAAAAATTTGCGATGTTTAGGCCATAATTGCGACCTCTAGATACCGACAAAAATAAAGTTTTTGGTCCATATCATCCCCTAAATATTAACCGATCTTTTCCAAAAACGATAGGGGTCTTCATTGGCCAGAACCCATCCTACATGCAAAATTTCGTGAAAATTGGTCAATGGGCAGACGGACGGACATCCAGGCCTGTTAAAGTCCTTGAATTTAAAAAAAAAAACAGTCTTGTGATAGTCCTTGGCGTTGGATTTTTTTTTTCAAAAATACATCCCCAATTTTCTTTCACTGTTGCCAATAAATTTACAACAAAATAAGGAAAAAAAAACGAAACAAAAATAAACATGCCTTGTTGTACAACGTTTGACGATAATGTTGGTGGTTGGGTTTTGTGTGTGGGTCCTCTAAGTCTAACAGCAAATTTAATTAGACACTTTTGTATGCTTGGATTCATGTTACGGCCAGGCATTTGAAGTGCTGACAGTGGTGGACCCAACCAACTGAAGCAACCAACCAGCCAGCCAGGCAGCTAGTCATCATCTACGGCTAGCCAACCAACCAACCAGCCAGTCAATCCAGACATACATAGATAGATTTTGTCAAGCTAAAATAAACCACAATAATGTTGACAGTTTGCTGTGGTTTTTTTCCTACTCACGCTTTTCATACGCACATTCGTCCCCTAGTACCCCTTACTTACGCACCCAGTTGGGCACTCACCGCGAGTTAAGTCATCTAAAAGCGGAACATATACACACATAAGTAGAATCTACGCATCCATACCTCCTCCGTCCTGCCACCCAGGAAAAATATTCTTTATTGTGGGTGGGTGTTCGGTCGCCCGAAATGCATTCAACCATCCACTTATCCATCCATGTTAGTTAACTGTCAGTTATTAGCCATTGTCAGCTTTGTCATCGACTGAAGAGTGATACAGAGCGGGTGGCCAATGTCTGGAGAAGTTTCGTTTTTTTTTGTCAAGAATATAACCACCAAATGAGTGGTGGAGACAAAAATACTTAAATATCTCAAATAGCTGTTAAGCTGCATTTCGTCTTTGCATAAAGTTAGTAAAGATGGATGGGTGGGTAGGTGGCTATCGGCCTTTATTGGAGTAGCTTTTCATGCGTAAATACCGCATACTTCTTGGGTGCGTAAAAATTCCGCATATTATATTCATTCTTAAGTCTTGTTTTCTTTCCTGCTTCTTCTTTTTGTTCTTGGGGCACCGCTTTTTATTTCATTTTATTTTTTATATTGTACTTACCTTTCTTCAAGAGATTCGATGCATGGGGATTGCGGCTTTTTGTGTTAAGTGATGAACAATTCCACCTATGCCATTGAAACTGAAATGATGAAGGCAGGGGGAGAGAATAAATAAAAAATAAAAGTAAAGTGTTAGAAGAGAAATCTTTGAAACTCTTCTGATATTCTGAGAGGTTTGAAGTGTTCTATGACCTCAGGGAATCTTTGTTTTTTTTTTAATTCCACTTACCTGCGTTTGACACTCTCTGATGGCCAGATCGAGACCTTCTAAGGCAGCCGTCGTTACATCGCTGGCTTTGTAACAAAGTTCCAATTGATCTTTGGTTAAACCGGGCACTGAACGACATGTGGCTCGGCCATCGGGTAAACAGTGAAGCCTAAAATGGAGATAAAAATAAGGATACATTTTATTGTTGTGGAGTAAAATATGTAAAAAATCCGATTTGCGATCGGGAATAAATATTTACAAAAACTATATTTAAAAAAACCTTATAAGAGGGGGTAGATATTTTTATGTTGAAAAATATTTTTTAACTCCTGTATAAAGACCCTGTTTATAGAGACGCCCTTCAGCTCTTCTATAAAGACTCCCTTCAGCTCTTCTATAAAGACTCCCTTCAGCTCTTCTATAAAGACTCCATTCAGCTCGTCTATAAAGACTCCCTTCAGCTCGTCTATAAAGACTCCCTTCAGCTCGTCTATAAAGACTCCCTTCAGCTCGTCTATAAAGACTCCCTTCAGCTCGTCTATAAAGACTCCCTTCAGCTCGTCTATAAAGACTCCCTTCAGCTCGTCTACAAAGACTCCCTTCAGCTCGTTATAAAGACTCCCTTCAGCTCGTCTATAAAGACTCCCTTCAGCTCGTCTATAAAGACTCCCTTCAGCTCGTCTATAAAAACTCCCTTCAGCTCGTCTATAAAGACTCCCTTCAGCTCGTTTAGAAAGTCTCCCTTCGGCTTATCTTTAAAGACTCCCTTCAGCTCGTTTAGAAAGTCTCCCTTCGGCTTATCTTTAAAGACTCCCTTCAGCTTGTCTATAAATACTCCCTTCAGCTCGTCTATAAAGACTGCCTTCATCTCGTCTATAAAGACTGCCTTCAGCTCGTCTATAAAGACTGCCTTCAGCCCGTCTATAAAGACTGCCTTCAGCTCTGTTTATAGAGACGCCCTTCAGCTCTTCTATAAAGACTCCCTTCAGCTCGTCTATAAAGACTGCCTTCAGCTCTGTTTATAGAGACGGCCTTCAGCTCTTCTATAAAGACTCCCTTCAGCTCGTCTATAAAGACTCCCTTCAGCTCGTCTACAAAGACTCCCTTCAGCTCGTCTATAAAGACTCCCTTCAGCTCGTCTATAAAGACTCCCTTCAGCTCGTCTATAAAGACTCCCTTCAGCTCGTCTATAAAGACTCCCTTCAGCTCGTCTATAAAGACTCCCTTCAGCTCGTCTATAAAGACTCCCTTCAGCTCGTCTATAAAGACTCCCTTCAGCTCGTCTATAAAGACTCCCTTCAGCTCGTCTAAAATGACTCCCTTCAGCTCGTCTATAAAGACTCCCTTCAGCTCGTCTATAAAGACTCCCTTCAGCTCGTCTATAAAGACTCCCTTCAGCTCGTCTATAAAGACTCCCTTCAGCTCGTCTATAAAGACTCCCTTCAGCTCGTCTATAAAGATTCCCTTCAGCTCGTCTAAAAAGACTCCCTTCAGCTCGTTTATAAAGACTCCCTTCAGCTCGTCTATAAAGACTCCCTTCTGCTCGTTTAGAAAGTCTCCCTTCGGCTTGTCTTTAAAGACTCCCTTCAGCTCGTTTAGAAAGTCTCCCTTCGGCTTATCTTTAAAGACTCCCTTCAGCTCGTTTAGAAAGTCTCCCTTCGGCTTATCTTTAAAGACTCCCTTCAGCTTGTCTATAAAGACTCCCTTCAGCTCGTCTATAAAGACTCCCTTCAGCTCGTCTACAAAGACTCCCTTCAGCTCGTCTATAAAGACTCCCTTCAGCTCGTCTATAAAGACTCCCTTCAGCTCGTCTATAAAGACTCCCTTCAGCTCGTCTATAAAGACTCCCTTCAGCTCGTCTATAAAGACTCCCTTCAGCTCGTCTATAAAGACTCCCTTCAGCTCGTCTATAAAGACTCCCTTCAGCTCGTCTATAAAGACTCCCTTCAGCTCGTCTATAAAGACTCCCTTCAGCTCGTCTATAAAGACTCCCTTCAGCTCGTCTATAAAGACTCCCTTCAGCTCGTCTATAAAGATTCCCTTCAGCTCGTCTAAAAAGACTCCCTTCAGCTCGTCTATAAAGACTCCCTTCAGCTCGTCTATAAAGACTCCCTTCAGCTCGTCTATAAAGACTCCCTTCTGCTCGTTTAGAAAGTCTCCCTTCGGCTTGTCTTTAAAGACTCCCTTCACCTTGTCTATAAGGACTCCCTTCAACTCGTCTATAAAGACTGCCTTCAGCTCGTCTATAAAGAATCCCCTAAGGTATTGTATAAAGACATCCTTCAGCTCGCTTATAAAGACTCCCTTAAGCTCGTGTATAAAGACTCACTTCAGCTCGTCTATAAAAATTGTTTTCAGCTCGTATATAACCACAATATCTGTTAATTCTGCCTTTATCTTTGACTTGTTTCGATTACCTTTTGGATTCGCTATTATTTTCTCTGGTCTAACACAAAATCCTCACCTTTTCTCTCCGTTTCTTCCTTCCTACCAATTTCCAATTTGCTTCATCCCGCTACAATGAAACCACGATTTCCATATATTTTAACATGCACTACATTTTATTTTTGAATTACAAAATTTAATTTTTTCCATTCTGTTGCTCTTTCCTGTTAGTGTTACTGCATTGCATAATAATTACGCATATTCTTAAATTGTCCAAATAACATTTCACGATTAACAATATCTTGTTCATGACGAATGGCATCCAACAAATCGAAGAGTTCACGACGACGTTCAACACTTTCTTCACTCATGCGGGTACGCATCAACGTCGCTGCCTTTGAGAATTTATCATTGAATTTCCTCTCTTCAATGGATAGACGAGCCAAAAGTTCGAACATACCCAAGAGGCCACGTCTCAAAATTATATCTTCCTTTTCCTCTTTGGCCAGGCCACTTTTTATCGTGGCAATCAATTGTTGCAGCTCCATTAGAAGTTTCTCTTTTTCTTCGATGCTGCCACGACGATGACGTAAATTTTCCGAACTGTGAATGTATTCCTGCAGCATTGCAGCCGTATTGCCATGATCCTCGGGTGGTATGGAATCCAATAATTGTTGCACAAAATGTTGGGTCAATTTTAGCATATTGTCCAATTTGACACCCGTTATAATATCCACATAATTATAGAATTGATTGATGAGGCGTAGCTCACCCTCCTCAGTGTCGATCAGATGATGGTGACGACTGTAGGTGCTGGCTCCCAGTGTCTGGAAATGAGAAATGAATTCAACAAACACTTTCCTATGAAAAGGTGCTACTAAAACTTACCAGAGGCACAATTCCAATGGCCAAAATAACCATCACAATCAACGGCGATCGCATTGCTCCTAATTCTCTTCTATAATTCATGTTTAATCGCTGTAATCGTTCCAATTGCACTGCCTTGCTGTGGCTGGCTGAATGTTCGGAATTTTTCTAATCTTTGTTTTGCTTTGTTTTGTAGTCCGCTACAATTAAAAGCGTCAGTGTCGGTGTTCATTTCATTCCGCTTCCATTTCCAGCGCGACATCCGAATGTTGTTGATTTTCGCTGTTTGTTTGTTGTTGTTTTCTCTACAGATTTCATTCACTAATCTGTTTTGACAATGAATTTTCATTGTCATTTACTTTCTATTATCAGTTTGTTTAATTATTCGTATTATTATTTGTATGCTTCTTCTTATTCTACCTCTCTGTCCGACAAAAATAATGTAGGACAAGCCATACGACGTAAGCATCAACTGAGATATGTTTCGATCATAACTGAGTGTATATATATGTTACTTATTTTAAAAATAACAAAAATAGACGGTTGGGACGATATTTGCATACCCTCCAAAATCATCTGGGCCTCAAGAGATTTTTTTTTCTATCGAAAAAACTTGGGCTTGGTAAACGAAGGATTCGTTCTATGAAAGAAGCTGGCTTTTTTGATATAGACCAAAATCTTGCCTGAGTATATGAAAAATAAATCCGAGTATAGAAAAGAGACAGACGCGGGAGAGTAATTTTTTCTATTGGAGACACGTTGTTCTATATTTGGAGACATTTTTTCTATAGAAAGTATTGGCCTTTATAAAATGAGTTTGGCGTTTCCATTTACATTCTACTTAGACCGTTTACAGAGATGTCCTTCAGTCCATCTATGAAATTCTCCGTTCAGTTCTGTGAAAAACTCTGAAAAAAACTTCCGACTATGACATACTTCCTTCAGCTCGTCTGTGAAATACTCCGTTTAGGTCGTCTGTGAAAGATTCCCTTCAGCTCGTCTATAGAGACTCACTTGAGCTCGTCTATAGAGACTCACTTGAGCTCGTCTATAGAGACTCACTTGAGCTCGTCTATAGAGACTCACTTGAGCTCGCCTTTAACTCTAATAACGACTGTCTTCAGAAACTGTCCCTCCCTTTAGCTCATCAATAATGGCTCCTTTCAGATCTTCTATAGGGTCTCCCCTCAGCTCACCTTTGAAAGACTCCCTTCAGATCTTCTATAGAGATTCCTTTCAGCTCGTCTATAGAAGCTCACTTAACCTCGTCTATAGAGACTCACTTAAGCTCGTCTATAAAGGCTCACTTAAGCTCGTCTATGAAAAACTCCATTTGGTTCGCCTATAGACTCCAACTCTATGGATATTCCTTCAGCTCGTCTACATATACTCCCTTCAGCTCGTATATGGAGACTCCCAAAAGCTCGTCTAAAAAGACCCCCTTCAGCTCGTCCATAGAGTCTCCCTTCAGCTCGTCTATAGAGACTCACTTCAGCTCATCTATAGAGACTCACTTCAGCTCATCTATAGAGACTCACTTCAGCTCATCTATAGAGACTCACTTCAGCTCATCTATAGAGACTCACTTCAGCTCTATAGAGACTCACTTCAGCTCGTCTATAGAGACTCACTTCAGCTCGTCTATAGAGACTCACTTCAGCTCGTCTATAGAGACTCACTTCAGCTCGTCTATAGAGACTCACTTCAGCTCGTCTATAGAGACTCACTTCAGCTCGTCTATAGAGACTCACTTCAGCTCGTCTATAGAGACTCACTTCAGCTCGTCTATAGAGACTCACTTCAGCTCGTCTATAGAGACTCACTTCAGCTCGTCTATAGAGACTCACTTCAGCTCGTCTATAGAGACTCACTTCAGCTCGTCTATAGAGACTCACTTCAGCTCGTCTATAGAGACTC